TTGTAAACAGTTTGCTGATGAATATCGTGGCCGATGACAAGGAAATTATCGCTCAGGGCGGGCTTGGCGTTGATGGACTGGTCAACAATGTCCTTAGACATCTGGATCTCGCTCTGGCTGTCATGGAGATAGTCGGCCGTGTCAAGATCGAAATATATGACCGAGTAGCCCAGATCCTTCATATCATCCTCACAGCCACACTCTGCCGTGCATGAAGAGTAGGGGGGTCTTTGGAGGAAGTTAATAAAAATTAGGGGGTAGTCTTACGCAGAGGGGAAGAGGCTGACCTCATGTAAGTAGGGATGACGCCGAGGATGTTGCGAAGCGCCTTGGCAGCAGTCAGTTGTAGTAAGAGTATATGGAACGGCACAACAAACCATTTCTAGCTTATACATCTCATTCTTGCGCTGAGCCGAGGTGATTTGGCACTAAAACAGGACGATTAGATCGAGCAATCAACAGATGAGGTGGGGAAACAAACCAGGTCGGCGTGAGACCAGGTATGGCTAGCAATTTGGTGGCCATCGGTGTACATCCGTCTATCATTTGATACTAAATCAGTCATGATACTTGGGCCAATATAGATTAGGCAGCATACTTGATGGTGCTGGCCCAGGGAAACGTCGCGTTATCAATCTCGCCCTTGGCATTATTGTTGCCCGTAATCATAAAAGTCGCCGTGGCACTATACTTCTTCAGTAAATCCAACAAGTCGTTAGTGTACGAAGCCGGGCCGTCGTCATACGTCAGGGCAACATCGCCCGGGTTGATGCAGCTGTATACACCAGGACCACCATACTCGACCTGGCCAAGCTTGTTTCGGGCGATGTCAGAGGTATTTAGTCCCGGCGGGATCTTGTTGGCATCACATGCCGGACCAAACTGGAAGAAGCAGTCTGGAGCTTTACAGTGGTCTACAACATGTTAGTCGGGGTGTGGGTTCGAATGTGACCCGCATCTCAAGATTGTCTAACCCGGAGTTGTTCCGCAGTATCTAGTAGTATGTTAGCAAAAAAACTCGACCACGAGGGCTAGTCACAAACCCAGCAGCAGAACAGCATTCATTTGCAGCGCAACTAGTGCCCCCATTGTTTGGGCCGCAGAGCCCAGGACCGGAGTTGCTACTATCAGCACCCGAATCAGTTGGCGGGGTGCCATCCTGCCGACACGTTCCGAACCCGGGCTGGCAGCCGTTGGACGTCAGGCAGTACTCGTCAGCAGAGCCGCACCAGCCATTTACCGAGCAGCCAGGGGCGAGGCTGCTATAGTGCCGGCGAGGGCAAGCATAATGAACTCGAGCGCGGGCATAGTGGACGTCAGAATGATAATAAAAAGAAGACCGTACAGGGTTGCTGATAAGAAAACAGGATAGAACGAGCGTGATCAAGTTACAAAAACGAGTGAATGCCACGAAGTTTTGGAGGAGGAATGTCAAGTCAGATCGAGCCAAGAAACGCGGCTGCGGGAGGCGTCTTAAAAGTATCAAGACATGCCCGCATATGGTGGTAGCAGCGGATCGCCAGAACGGTGAGCCGCGAAACCGTTAGCAAGGGCTACAGGGGGGCATCTTTCGTCATGGTGCGAATAAGAGAGAAACCCTTATGCTTGGGAATATGAGATTCCTGGTGTTGTTGTAGCGATCTGCGGGCCGAGATGAACGGAACGACGTACGGACGTAAGGTAGTGTAGGCTCTGACGAGAACTATAATGCTCGTTTGCAAAGTGGGATGCAGCCAGTGTGCGCCTTCCTTAGAGGACCGTGTGTCGAGATCCAAGTTCCCCAGAAACAATGCTATGCCATTGCTTGGAAATGGGGGATTACTGCTGAGTAAGATATCACTTTTGGCAGAACCATATTGGTTGAAGTGACATGCTATGAGGGTTCCGGTCAATGGCAAGATAGCCAACTGATGCTTTGACGCTCCGGGATACAATTCTCACCGTAGCTAGTGACGGTAGGTAAGCACCACAAGGGCCCGGGACTGGAGGTTGCAGTAGCACAAGCTGACCGGCTGATGGATGATGCGGGGCCGACGGCGAGTTGAAACTTTAAGCCCAGGGTTTGTCATCTTGGCCTGGCTGTGGCATCAATCTTCCAAGCGAAGACACTGGCCGCCGTATAGGTGCGGAGAGGCTCCCAATTATATAGGCTTGGGGCTTAGGTGTGCGTCCTGGCGGACCGCCAATAGACGATGCCTCTGGGAGTATGGGATGGGAGATTTTTGCCGGGGATATGACCTTGTCATGAATGGGATGTTAGAACAATCCATTCCCGTTCTCGGGGAATCACCCTTCGAGGAGGCAAGTGTCATTTGACTGATGGTCGTAAAGCAAGCCGAGATCTGCAAAGCCCGTTAAAGCCCCTGAGTAGTGCGGGACAAGGGGTTAGACCGGGGGTTTGGAGGCAAGAACCTTTCTTCGCCTGGCGTTATCCCAATGTTTTTCGTTTCGGACAATTCCAGAAAAGCAAAGAGACGCAAAAGGATATGGCTCTGATAGCGCCTCCACCTGATGCATCGCCATGATGATCGGGCGGAGATAGGATGGGGACTAGGTAGAACCATTGCGCCCTCCATCACACGGGCGCCTAAAAGAGTCACCCAATTGCGGTTGGCGCGCAGGGAATAAACCGCCATTTGCCCAGCCAAACCACTCTCTTGGATTATCGGCCCTACTTTGCCAAGAGCACCTAAACATTGTGCAGCCACAGAAGCCGAATAGCGGTTGAGCAGGTACGCAAACCTCTGATGCTGGCTGCTTTACAGGGCGGGCACCTCGTTGTTGTTTGCGAACGGTGAAGATCTGGAGAAATGTCGATGATGGTAATTAAGAACGTCCGATCTTAATTAGGTGATAATTAGGAGGTTTGATTTTGATGGAGGCTATCTGCACGCAGTTGGATACACATGCATGAATGCGACGTTCAATCAGCTCCGAACTGGCTCGCTTAGATTAATGAGACGTGATGGAAGGCCTTGGTAATATATCTTGTTGTCGGGAAGAAGAAGAAGAAGAAGAGAGAGAGAGAGAGAGAGAGAGAGAGAGAGAGAGAGAGAGAGAGAGAGAGAGAGAGAGAGAGAGAGAGAGAGAGAGAGAGAGAGAGAGAGAGAGAGAGAGCTAGCCACGGCTTGGTAGTCAAATCTGTTTGGTGCTGCAGCCTTGCTGAGTTGGATACCATCAACAGCCGTTTCATTGCGTAATTTTCCGTTCCCTGGGTAGGCGCGGACGGCATCGGCGTCAAGGAGTTACGGAAGCCGAGGAGAATCCCCTTGGCTAGGTTAGAAAGTGACAGGATCAGCTGTGACCCCTGGAGCACTGGTCCACAGCCAAGGTCTAAGCCACGCTGCGCTGACCAACAAGGGGTATCCTTTGAGGCGGTTTATACGGGGCTGCGACAGCAAGTCAGCCACTGGCGAAGGAGGAACCTCAGCAATTGACATCGAGATGGTACGTATTCCCTCCCCTGCCTTTGCCTTCTTTCCGACTTCTCTCTTTCTATCTTTTTTTTATATTATTATTATGGGTTTTATTTTATTTATTTAGATTATCACTTTTGCTCACCTTAATCAATTTGAAATCATTCTGCTTCCTTTACACTAGGTCTTGTCCATTTTGTTTACCTACCTTCCCCGGTGTCTTTCTGGCTTACCTATCTTTTGGTACGGTTGGCTGGAGTTGCACATGAGACGGGCTCCCTCAGGGCGGACGTTTCTCAAACACTTGGTTTGGGGGTTATTTATGGATGTGATTTATCTTGGCGTTAGTCCCTTTCCAATGCCGTCTGATCTGTTGGGCTGACTGTCCTGTCCTTTGGGGTTAATAACAACAGCGATGTACGGCGGGAAATACTGACAAATCCTAGCATTGGCGGTGGCGTTGGGGCTCTGGACTTTCAACCAACTCACCATAGCAAGCTAAATGGAGCACCGTATGTGTTGGCATGCACGTCTCGCAAAGCACTCATTCAATCTACCTATTGATGCTTTGGGCCGCCGCCAATCGTCTGCATACTCAGTTTCGCGTACACAACGTACGGGATAAACGAGTCTCACCGTGGCCAAAAATGGCAATTTGACATATTGCGCAATCACTATTGCCACGAAATGGGGCTAAGGCTTAAAGGCGGCACATTGCATTAACCTCTCTCTCTCTCTCTCTCTCTCTCTCTCTCTCTCTTTGAGAGATGAACTCATGTGTTGCCGTGTATTGCTAAAGCTCTTACGGTACCAGGAGGCATCCATTTAATCTTCCGCCCTGCATTGCCCGCCGCCGCCGTCGCGTAGCACTGCCACGCGACTGCTTACCACATTGGTCACCTTGCCTGTCTCAAAGCATGAGTTCCCAGCCAGCCAGCCAACCCAACCAGCCTCATTCTTGCCTCTTGTGCACGTTACGGCTCCAATTTTCCATTCCTTCGTCGTCCCAACTCCCGTGTCTCCCGCACCTTACCCATCTTCATTCCAGCTACATGCACCGACGTCTTCTTGTCCACCCATACGTAGGTACTAGACTTGTCAATTACTTGTCACTTGACCACTTTCATCACTGAGCGGGCCCGCCGTCAATCTTCAATCGATAACTCTATCTCTTTTCATTCTCGAAAACCTCCTGATCTTTCTTCTATATTTTCTATTTTTTATTCGGCTTTTCTTTTCACACCGACTCAGGCTTGCTACGTACCCTCATTAGTACCTCGACTACGAGGTACAGCCTACCCGTACTCACCACCCCGGTCGGCCATTACCGCATCCGCGCGCCCTAGGCCTTCGTCGTCTGTGCAGATCGTCCCCAATTCCACCCCCATAACACTAAAACTCTCTTCCTCCTTCCCCTTACTCGTTCACTCGTTCACTCGTTCACCTGAAGTAGCTCGAAGCCACCCTCTTTTCGGATGACCTGCTACTTGTCTACCCTCTTTCTCTTTCATATCCTCTCCTCTCATGTCCTCCTCCATCCCTCTCGCAAACCTGTCGCCCTCGTCGAGGCCATCGTATTACAAAATGCCCGAATCGCCCGCGCCCTATGCAAGGCGCTCTACACGTCCACGCCGCGGTCATTGGACGCCCTCCCTGATCGGCTCCTACGTCTTCGACTGGTTCGTCCTTGCTGTCGCTGGAGGTATTGCAACAGTACTGGGAGTCGTCGAGCCGAACAAACGCCCTTTTTCCGTTCTTGACCCCAATATCTCGTAAGCCAAGCTCCCCTCTAACACGTCTTGTCACTGACCCCATCCCGCAGCTTCCCCTTCACCGAACATGAGACAGTCCCTATGTGGCTGGCCGCCATTATCGCAGTTGGCGTCCCTATCATAATTATTGCCGCCGTATGCCTCGTTCTCGTTCCTGGAAATACTGTTCCCAAAGGAACTCCGAAGTCGCTTGTTTGGAAACGTAAACTGTGGGAGTTGCACGTTGGCTACCTTGGTCTCGCCCTCGCCCATGTCGGCGCCTTCTTCATCACTAACGGCATGAAAAACATGTTTGGAAAGCCTAGGCCCGATCTTCTGTCACGATGCCAGCCTGACTTGGACAACATTCAGAACTACATCGTTGGCGGCACTTTTCCTGGCATCACTGGTTTGACCGGCGCGACTGGCTTTGGCCAACTCGTATCAGCAAATATTTGCAAGAACACTGATTCGCACACACTTGATGATGGCTTCCGCAGCTATCCATCCGGTCACTCGAGCTCCGCCGCCGCCGGCTTGATTTATCTGTCTCTTTTCCTCGCTAGCAAGTTCGCCGTTACTGTACCTTTTGTAGCTTCGGACAACGGTGCTGAGTCTCACTCGGCCTTCCCATCTCGCCTGCAAAAGTCCGGCGTCGACTACGAGGTACTGTCTGGTGAAGGTGGTTCTTTGAACCCCGACTCGGCAGGCGCTGCCAGGAACTTGGCGGAGCACAACAAGATTGTGACTGCTGTCCGTCGCCAAGCTGCCGCCCCCCCATCTACCTTCTGACTATCGTGGTCCTCCCATGGTTCGCATCGATCTTCATCGCTGGCTCTCGCTGGTTTGACTTCCGCCATCACGGTTTCGATATTCTCTTCGGCTATATGATTGGCATCTTCACCTCCATTTTTGCATTTCGCTACTATCACCTCCCAATCCGCCAGGGTGCGGGTTGGGCCTGGGGTCCTCGAAGCCACGACAAGGCTTGGTGGTCTGGTGTCGGATCCTATAGTTATGCGACCGAGAAGGGCGACTTTATCAGGGCAGGAGACGAGGAGGAAGCATACATGTCCAGACCGGTCGCGGGTCAAGCATCATCGACTCAATACGTCAGCAAGGCCGGCTCCAATGAAGGGGCGGAGCCTGAACCCCGTTTCTAATGGCCGTATAATACGGTTCGTCGGGTTAGCACCCATTGCATTTCCAAAATGGGCACGTTGGGCATGATTGGAGTTTTAAGGTATACCACCCGCCTGGAAAAGGATTGGCGGCCTAGGGCAATGTTATTTTTGGGGTCAGGCATGGCACGCAGGTACGACCGTTACGGAATAGAATTGTGGTTACGACTTAGTTGATGCATCAAACGTCGTCCGTCGCGTGAAAAGACCCTTCAAGATGAGTATTTGATTGACTAGACGATAACCGCACCTGCAATAAAACGTGGGGCGTTCGTTTGGCGACCTAGAAATGCGGCAGCACGCACGCTAAGCTGGACAGCTATCCCAGTTGATTTAAAGTCGTACGATCATGACCAAGCACGAGGGGAGATCGTGAAAGCCATCACGTCATTATTCCGGAAGCCCGACCGAGTCTACCAAAGCAAGAAAATAGCAAACCGAGAAGAGCAAGGCGAGCCGATGACTTATCACTGCCTGTCGTATGTCACAACGGGACAAGACACAAGCCCCCTTTTGCGAGCTCGCTAGATTGCGGTACTAGCATGCCTTGTAGCCATCATGACCAGTACGAGTATCGTGCTCATGAGGTAAGAGCGCAGCGTAGTCTGCAGACCGTCGTTCCCTCGATTTCTTCAGGCCATGGCGATGCCTTCATCGGCGCCCGTCGGGCGGGCTGTATCTATGCCCTCGAACTCGACGTCGTCCTCCTCCTCAAGCACGTCCTCATCGCGGAAACCGCTGTCGACCTCCATCTTGCGTAGGCGACGACGCATCGTATCTTTTTTGTGGTGCTGCCACCTGATCAGAGCGGCTGGGGCGTGAACTTTGAAGCCGTAGACGCGCGGGATGTAACGCTCGGCACTCTTCGTAGGGATGAGGGCCGGGTAGGCCTGAAAGATGATGTTGTGGAATGAGGTGCCGAAGTAGGCGCCATCAATGGCAGCGTGGCGCGATGACTTTGGGTTGTAAATATCCTCGCAGCGGGCGCAGTAGAGCTTAACGGGCTTCATATTAGGGATGTCGGCAAGACCCATGGGGAGGAGGGGGTGCGAGTGACACATGACGCGGGGGCATTTGCCAAAGTCGGCTTTCTTATACTTTTCGAGCTAGAATGTGTATGTCAGCCGTGCTGTTCGTTCAAGGTTCCATCATCCTCTCGGTCTTCTCCTCTCTCTTCCAATCTCGTCTACGTAGACAGGGACATGAAGAACGCAAGCGAGAAATGCGCAGCATACCATCTTGGCGAGACCTCTCGTCGTAACAATGAAGCGGGCGTGTACAAGACCGTATAGATGCCTTGCGGACTTCTCTATGGTCTCCCTCATTTCGTCGTCGCAGTCCAAGTCAAAGACATCCGTGATGAGGTCCAGTGCATATTGGTAGTATTGTACTTCCGTGTTCAGTCCCGTCAAGTTGAACCGATCCGTAAGGTAATCTTCGTCGATCTCGCAGAAGTATTCGTTGCCCCGAGAGGAAATGAACTAGACGGGTATGCTGGTTAGCAGGGTCCATTCAGCGGCTTCTACGAGCAGTTGCAGGCAAACTGCGGTGATATTTGAGCCTTGATAAATCTTGCGCATAAGCGAGCGCGTTGCATCCGGCCCAGCGTCTTCGCCTCTTGGGAAACACCTTCGCGCGCAGATTGCTATCAAGGGCCTGTTTCTTGCATGCAAACCAAACTCACCCAGTCTCGCCAATAGCTCGTGTAGTCACTATCCGACTCGCTGACGAAATCGTCCATCATTGCGGAAGAAGGTGCGACTCGTACCCGTGACAAATTCTCAGATCATGGCCCAGATCCGCGAGATACTGTGGAGCGCTGCGTTCGTGGCTCTTGTGGGTATTGGAGTATTTCTGCTGTTGCAGTGCGAGAGTATGCCCGAGCCGCTGATAGATGTTGGAGTGATGGGCTGGCGATAATGTCTTCTTTTACCGTTAGTGGTGGTTGACGCCGAATCTCTGCGCTCATCTGCAGGGCGGAAAGTGGTTGGCGGGGCTGTGGTGGCACCAGGCCAGGCCAAAACCAGGAAGGGGGGAGGGGGTCGAGAAAGGTACGTACCTAACCTTTATCTTCCCAAATAGATTTGCTGTAATATCCCTGTATAAAACCATCTCATAGTGCAAGACTGGCGAAAATCCCATTGCCTGTCTCCTTCGTCCTTCGCAACACGAAGCGTTTTCAACGTCCAGATGAAAACACCATGACTATCCTATTCCTCATGCGCATGCATCTCCGCCCGCATGTCAAGAATGGCCACAAACAAAAAAGAAGAAGGGAAAAAAAAAACCCCGTGGGGGAAGGGGAGGGGGAGCGTATATGAGTCGAGAAACCCGCTGTCTCAAATGTTTGCTGCTACATATAGCATCTAGCGACCTTCCGAACTGAAGCTCGCAGTGTCGCTAACCGACTGGCCTTCTGACTCCAATTCGTCGCTCTGTTCTGCGTATTTTAGGCCCAGGCCATTGACCCCTCTACTATTTGGCACATCAAGCCGACTCATTATCCCAGTTTGGTCCTCGTTGCTCTTGGGTGTAATGTTCACCCCCTCCATGGCCTCGCGTAATGTGTCGCCCGTCTCGTCCATGGCCGCTAGGAATCGTGCCAATTCCTTGCACAAATCCCAATCACCCTCCTTCATCGCCCTTGACAGCAATCGCACGGTTTGCTCCGAAGCAGACCCTAACTCATCAAGTGTGTGGAGGATGATGAGATAGCCACCAGCAGTCTTGAGAGACCCTCGCTGAAGTGACTCTTCAAACAGCTCTTGCACCGGTGGGAGGTAAGCAAAAAGCGTTCGCCACTGTCTCACCTCTGTCTTCCTTGTGCATTGTACCACAATGTCCAAGTACTGTTTAAAAGAAGACAACAGTGACAAAACTCGGGGTAGAATTGCCTCCTCTGGGCTTGGTCCAGAATCCACTTCGTCGTCGAGAACCTTGTGGAGCAAGATTTCCAGCGCATGCGCGAAATACTCCAAGTTCTGATACTGTTCCGACAGCCTGACGGCGTCGACAGCCTTGCCTTCGGACAGGAAGAAACGCAAAATGTCGGGCAAAAATAGATGGGTCTGTTGACCGTTAGTAAAATTGTTTCTGTCGGGCAAATTGCAAACCTACCCTGATCGCGAAGCGGAAAAATGAAAAGCTGATATCCCGCCTCTGTACAAGATCGGCTTCGACCCCGAGAATTATACCCTTACTAAGAAGGGTTGAAAGAGGATAAAAGTCCAGAGGGACTGATATCGTCCTAGGTAGATCCCGTTGTGACTCAGTTGATGCTGCTCGCAACACCTCTTGTATGTCCGGCCAAAGCTTGAATTCCTGGCCATCGAAAACCCAGAGGGAGTTCCGCAGAGTTACGTCTGCACCCGCTGGCAATGGCTCTTCTGCCTGCGTAGCTATTGCGTCGAAATGCGGCTGGTCTCTCATGCTCACATGGAACTCCACGTTTTGAGCGATGACCTTCATATCATACTTCAGATTCCCTTCACTGTTAAACGATGGTTGAAGCAGTACCAATTTGGCGTCAACCAGGAATAAGACTGACGCAACAGCGACATCCTGTGACGGATCACCGTCAACGAGTTGGCTATCCGGCAAAATCCAGCTCAGCCCACGGACTCTGGCAGGCGACCGCACTATGCCGTGAAAGGCAATTTGCCCAAGCTGAACCAGCCTAATCGAGCCGCCTGTCGGTGCGAAGATGAAATGATACAGAAGATTCTCGTATGTATATACCAGCAAGGAGTCTTCTCCCGATGTGGTCACCAGAACCACCGGTGCTGGTAACGGCTGAGTGTGTAGCACTTGAGAGTTGTCGAGGGCCGTCTCCCTAGAGTAGAGGCGAAGTTCATGTGACTTGTTGGCCTCTACGGCAGCCACAAGGATATGCTGATACCAACACATGCTGCCTCTAACCTGAAATTCGTTTTCCATGGCCTCATTGGCGAACGTCTTCCAACGGCCACTGTTGACACTGTAGTGGGCCAGGCCTCGGCGCCCAGCCACAGCAACATATCGCCCATCTGGCGAAATCACGGTATGCCGAATAGGCCAATGCTGAAGAAGGTAGGCCGGAGGTACTTTTGCCGTATGCCACAAATGAGGCTCTGCAGATATGCTCGCTAGATCTGGCAGATCATAACCGCGATATATCATGACATTCGTGCTGGTCTGTAGTACCGTGCGCATGAGATTTGCCGCGTTGTAGTTACCGACCACTGCACTCCTGGCCATTTCCAGTACCCAAATTGCCTCGTGTCGACGATGTGTGATTAGTATCTCTGAGCCACTCCCGAGCCAGACGGCATCCCCTACGCCGGCGACCCAGTTCTCCCCGTTGGCCTCAATGATCGCATCGTGCGCACCAAAACTATGACTGCCGGGCTTTCCATAGACGCTCCAGGTAGCCCAGCCGTTTTCAAAGCCGGCAAATAGACAGTAACCGTCAGGGGAGTAGCTCAAAGTGGTGATCGAACCAGAGACTATCGTTGACACCGGAGTAGTGTGCGTGTGCGAAGGCGGGATGTTCCCAGCATAATCCCGAGCTGAATACACACGGATGCAGCCATCCGCGCATCCGACAGCAATCAAAGAGAACCTTGCGTTTATGACAGCTTTTTTGGCAGCTTCTTCCGGGTTGATCGGTGTATGGAAACAGTAACCCTTGAACAGCTTCTTGGGATCCGCTCCTTGAGAATTTCCGTGAGACTGGTCGCGTGGATGTAGACGCTGGACTGCATAGACTTTGCCGTCACTTGTGATCCAAGTCGATAGGTTCATAGGTCGATCATGGGTCATCTCAATAATGGTGATCTTCTTCTCCAGCCATCCCATTCGACTGATAATTTCTGTCTTGGTCTGACTGCCGCTTTGATCTGGGGTCCAGCGTATGCACTGAATAGCTGCTGGTTTGCGTGTAGCCACAACCAGTTCGTCATCCAGTGCCAAAGCGCTTTCTATGCCGGCATCGACCTTGATGA